GCTACACAAAAAAAAAAAAAAAAAAAAAAAAAAAAATCATGTCATTTGAGTGTTGGGTTTGTAAGAAATTGCAAAATCAATACATATATGTTTGTAAGTCAACATGTAAGGTCGTGCTACTAAAATTGTATTAATTAGAGTTTTGTAAAGAATCAATAGTTGAAATTTGGATATAAAAGAGTTCAGAGTATTGCCTTACTTCTTAGATAATTTGAGCTCTATCTAATGGTTGAATTGAGAATTATCAAATTTTAAAGTTCAGTGCATCAAAGGGATTCGGTATTGAAGGAATTTTGGTATTATAAGGATTTTACTACCACAAAAAAGGTTTTGGGAATTACGAAAGATTTGAAAATTATTGATTGATTTTACTATTATTGGAGGTTTGATAATTATTATTTATTGCTATAAATTTTACTATTACTAGAGGTCCGGTAATTATTATTTATTACTATAACTTTTAATATTACTGGAGGTCCATTAATTATTATTTACTACTACAACTTTTACTATTATTGGAGGTTTAATAAATATTATTTATTGCTACAACTTTTACTATTATTGGAGGTCTGGTAATTATTATTTATTGCTACAACTTTTACTATTACTAGAGGTCTAATAATTATTATTTAATGCTAAAAATTTTATTATTACTAGAGGCTTGGCATTTGATGTTTATTGCTACTATGTTTAATATCATGGAAAGGAATGAAAAAAAAATTATAAATAATCTTGGATTATTTTTCATCTTATGATTAATTGAGAATTTAGTGTCAGCCAAACATCCAACACTTTCTCAAGGCAAACTCTCTTTTCCTCAATAACGCCTTTCAAATAATCAATTATTGCATGCAATGGCTTAAAGAATAAATTATTTCAAAGATTTTATTTTTGGCATTATTAATAATAAATCTTTGACATTATCTTTCAAAACATATCAAAATTAATTCATGAGGGTTTTGTCATTTCAATCTATTTCACAAACAAGATTTGGAATTTAACAGCATATATGATGGTTGATTGTAATTCTTATCATAAAAATAAGAGTTTGGTCTTTGCTATTCTTTTTCAATCACTTTTTCCAAATATGGTTGGGAATGAATTCAAATCATAAAAGAATTGTGAATCCTTTTCCATCAAAGGTGTAAATCAAGAGAGGGTATTTTTAGATAGAAATGTACCTATGAATCCAACTTAAATAAATCCATTAAGGTATTAGAAGTAATACAACCTTGAATAGAGCTTCACTTGTTGCAAAAATTCATAAAATTTTGATTTTGTTCCATCAAACTTCTCGGGCATACTAATCTTTATCCTTGTCATATTTGTAAAAACAAAACTTCTTGGATCTGGTTGTGAAGTTGATTTATTTTCTTCCTTCAATTATATAAATTTTTGATGTAGATTCTAAACTTTTTGCATATACATAGGATTAGTATTTATATAGTTGGTGCTTAGAATGTATGAAATTTCTATCCTAAGAACATTAACAAGTTCTTGAAGATTAATAATAGTTACAAATCTATTCTTACTTCTATTAAATATAGTATCTATGATGTTTCTTTTTTTTTAAACAACTTAACAAATCTACAAGTCAAATTAAAGGAAGGTGGTTTGTAACCTCTAATATTCAATGAAAATTTCTACAAGGAGGGATAATTTGCTCTCTTTAAAGAAAAAAATTCATATTAGAAAATTAAATACTTTGTTTGAAGGGAAGTAATCAACAATCTTCAAATTAAAATAATAGAAGTGAAATAATCTATTGACTTCTAAAACAAAAGAAGAACAATGAGTTAATACTCTTGTCAAATTATCAAGGATATGAAGCTTGAAGAAAGAAATCTTCAATATAATCTTGTGTCTTTCAAAAGAATTGTAAAGTCACTCAAAGATAATATAATATTAAACTATAATAGCTATTGCCAAAGACAAAAAGACTAGAAATTCTTGAAATAAGACTAAGCACTAGAAAAAGAATTTACAAGAATAAAGAATGCTTTACTTTTGCCTCCATATGTACTCTTAATTAAAAGATTTATGGAAATTTCCTATAGAACCTCCAAAAAATATTGACTTTACAAAACATGTTGTTGTAGTATGTGAAGCCTTGCTTGAGAATGCACCGAGCACCTAGCTATAGAAGATAGAATGAAAATTGCAACAATAAGATTTTAATTCTAATAGAATCCTAAATAATTCCAATTAAATCTTAATAATGATAATCAAGATTTAATCAAATCTAAAGAAACCTTAAAAAAATTATGAAAGAAGCATGAAATAATCCTAAATATATGTTAAATAAATTTCAATCAAATCTTAATTTAATCTTAGTTAAAATTCTAGTAGTCTTTAATTAAATCTTAAGTCAAATCCTAACTAATTCTAAACCATTCTAAATCCTAAAAAAATCCTAAATCTAACCAATTCCTAAATTTTAAATCCTAACCAAATCTTTAAAAAATCCTAAATCTAACCAATTCATAAATTTAAATCTTAACCAAATCTTAGTAAAATTAATCTAACCTTAGGATAATTTAGAACCTCAATATCTATCAATTATACCATTGATCTTACTTAAGATTTTATACACCTCTCAAAAATTAAATTGGCAATAAGCATACAAAATTTGAAGAAGATCGAATTTACCAATTAGAAGATCAATCCTAAATTCCACTTGGGTGTTGGCCAACCTCCTACTCCAATATAAATGTTGAACTTCCAATGCCAATATCTCCTTCTTGAACCATTAAATTACTTCCAAAATTAATCTAAACTATTGAAAATCAAGTCTAATCTCCTTATTAAAAAAATTCACTTCAATCCAATTGACAATTTTCTAAAGATCTTAAAAATACTCATTGACCTTCAAACTCCAATTTTTGAGACTTCAATCCACAAAAACCCTTACACACTTTGATCTAACCCTTCAATTGACCTCAAAATTTGCACACACATTCACAACTAGCATATCAATACTTTATCTAAAATTTCTCTATATATATATCACAAAATTCAAGAAACATTCAAATATATAAACATAGTATTATTTCTCAAAATCTAAAATAACTAAGAATATTAAAATTTTTTAAAATCTCTCAAAAGTTAAATATAAATTCAATTGATATAAAATCAATGTCCAAAAATCTCTTTATAAGTTTGATCTCAAATTTTTCTCTCGGATCTATCAAAGAATCCTAGAATTACCATAGGTACGTGGTTTTATTCCTTGGGGTCTAATTTCAACCCAAGTTGATAACTAGTCTTCTCTGGATACCAATATTTTATAATTTGATATAATTTTTATTCAAACCTATTGATAACACTTTTCTAAAAATATCTATATTAATTACTTATTTTATTTACTTTGATTTGAGGTATTTATGTTCTTACAAAGCAAATAGAAGTCTCTTTTTTAAAAGACAATACTAAAACTAAACCTTTTATTATCTTTTCATCATTTATCCTTATTTTTCTAGCATATCTTCCTATTAGGTTCTTTTATAATAATATCCATTTTTTCATTTTTTACCATATAAACATGATTATATGGTAAAAAATGAAAACATGGATATTGTTATAGAAGAACCTAGTATAATATAGTATATTATACAATAATGTATCTTAACTTGCAAGACAAGTTTTATATATGTGTGCTATATAGTTAGCTTGTTTTTTAAGCTATAAATATGTGGTTAACTTGTTGATCAAGTTTCTAACCTACTAATCAACTACAAATACATATAAAGTCAAAATAGTTTCTATAAAGCTTCTAGAAAGCTTCTTTAGAAAATATTATGAAATAAATTTACTTTTACCTACTTCTATATAATCATATAGATAAATATTAGAATATATATATATATATATATATATATATATGTATATATATGATACTTTATTAGACTTGGTATAATTATTATTGCATTTTTATTTATCTTTCATAGTTAAGTGCTTGATGTATTCTCAAGCAAGAATACACATAATACAACAACGTTCATTTAAAATTTTAAAGAAATGTGGATGATTTAAAAAAATTCCTATCACAAATCATAATTTTGATAGAATTCCTAATTTCATATTGGCCTATTGTCTACTTCATAATATTGCCATTAACAAAAATTATCTCTTTGATAAATCTATTGTACTTTGGGCATACCACAACTTAAGATATACACAAGAAGTAATTAGAAATATACTCCAAAGTAATAGTAAACAATTGTAAATAGCAATTACAAGATATTTGTATCAATTAGAATAATGTGCATCAATAAATGAAGTTTAAGATGACTTAACTTTGCTTGAGGTTCAAACTTTATATTTTAAATTAATCCATAGACTTGTACAAATATTTTTTTGCATCCTCAATTGAAATGAAACCTCATTATGACCACACTCTTCATTATTAATGTTAAGTGTCATTTTGAATATGATATCACACTTAATGATTGGATGATTTTTGCAAAAGTTACATGTAGATGAATTTTAAAAAACTTCATCCATATTGATTTAAAAAATATTATAACAACTACAAGCTCAAGGAATATGTGACACTAAACGTAAATGTGTTATGATAAGTGAATTACATAAACGTAAATGTGTTATGATAAGTGAATTACATAAAAGAGGAGGGTAAAAGAATTCTTCTTCATGAATATTGTGCAAGTAAGCCCTGAGTCATAAAGTGCTTCACTCCCTTACACATGGAAGTGCAAAGTATGAAATTAGGTGGACTCTGCCTTCCAGGGATCACCATGTGAAGACCAAGTCCTAGAATAACATTGCACACTCATTGAGCAGGGATGGAGGCCCTAACTCCCCTTTGTAGTAGTCCCAGTAAGAACATGATGACCCCACCAAATCCAAGAGATACTTGGTCGTGCCACGTAGGACGAAAGCCAAGCTGCGGCGGAGTTGGGCATCGGACACGAGCATCCAGGCGCCGTGGATGAGGAGAGCAGCAGCTAGCCCCCACAGACAGACAGACTGACTGCCAGACCTGTGTAAATGCCCCAATATCACCATCTCACTCCAAATCCCGACTTGCACCAGGAAATTTATTATAGCAGACATCGAGGGAGGCCACTGCACGCTACTCCGTGCCCGCAATTGGGTCCCTAATAAGCGACTTCGTCCTTGAGGAACAAGCGGAAGAACGGGAGACAGGGCGGGGGTTTCGGTCTAGGACCCCTGCCGAAAGAGAACAGATTTGTCAATATCCGGTGTCGGCGATACGTTTTATCCACTGCAATCCTTTGTGCGGTTCCCAACGTCAAGAACCAAGCATGAAGCCGCCTAGGAACGGCGAACATGGGCTGTAGCCCTAACCCTAGCTCCGTGCAGCGGGGCAGCTCTCCGCTCCTTTTCTATCAGCGTCCGCCGCCGTCACTGATCTTCAGCGGGAGTGTGCGCAGTGCGCTGCTCGCCCGATTGCCTGCCACCTCGCCCTAGTTTGTTGGGAAGCTGTCGTCCAGAGCGGTCCCAGCAGGCAACCGCAATGTTGATTCCTAAGAAGAACCGGGTGGAGGTCTACAAGTATCTCTTCAAGGAAGGTGTCTTGTACGCCAAGAAGGATTACAATGCCCCAAAGCACCCCGAGATCGATGTGCCCAATCTGCAGGTCATCAAGCTCATGCAGAGCTTTAAGTCGAAGGAATACGTGAAGGAGAACTTCGCGTGGAGGCACTACTATTGGTGAGTCCTTAATTGCATCCGCTGTTCCGTTGTGCTGATTAGGTTAGTCTTAGTGGCACTGTTGTCTGTAGTGAGAACGTGTGTTGCGACAATGTGGGAGCGATTGTGTTAGTTTAGGGTTTGATCTCCACTGTTCCAGTCAACTGGTTATCATTCGGTAACGGTGTTCTACTGTAGTCACAGCTAACAACGGGTCGCGTTGAAGATGCCATTTATCTATTTTACCGCATTCTGGATTGGGAGGGCTAGTATTAGGCGAAACAACCTGTGATTTAATTTTGTTGTCACCTATCCTGAAGTTTTTCTCATCAGTAAGGGTTGAATCGGAATTCTATGCTCGAATGTTTGTGCAGATATAAGTAGCATAGTAGCATGCTTCACAACCTAAGTTTTAAATCACAATCTCGGCAACTTCCCGCTTCTCTTACGTCTAGAACTTTTCGTACTGTTCGCTTATGTAAAGATTATCTGTCACAGGAAAGCCCAAAATTAGGGTTGGAGTTGCTCCTCTGTCTAAGATTTAAATATCAAGGAGCTTCTGTGGAGAGTTCGCGCTTGGAGATTTGTAGAATTCTTAATCTGTTGGAAAACTACGGGCGTCTTTTCAACTCACCTTGATAGACATTTGTGTGAAGCGGATCGAGTGATTGCTCTTCGAACGAGCCCGAGGGTCGTCCAAACATGGGACCACTAATTTGCCTATTCTCCGATCCTGGTAAGATCAATTTTTAGATTCGCCAGTTTTCTGATACGGCTTACTGCAGGTATTTGACCAATGACGGTATCGAGCACTTGAGGGCCTACCTCAACCTCCCATCCGAAATTGTCCCTGCTACTTTGAAGAAGTCTGCACGCCCCCCCAGCAGGCCCATGGGAGGTGCTGGAGGGGACAGACCCCCCGGCTGCCCTCCTAGGGAAGGCGAGAGGCCTCGATTTGGTGGCGACAGGGAAGGCTACCAAAGAAGTGGCGGCCGTGGAGGCGGCTTTGGTGGAGAGAAGGGTGGTGCCCCCGGAGAGTACCGTCCTGAATTCCGTGGTGGACGAGGTGGCGGTTTCGGTCGTGGGGGCGGTAGCTTCGGGGGCGATGCTCCTGATTCCACCACACAGTAGGTCCCTCCTTTTACTTTGTTCTTAAGGCTATTCCATCTTTGTCTATGAGGGGCTGGGAACCAGCGTCGGTTCTGGAACATGTCTCAGGTGTGAGTTTGTGGACCAGGAATCGTGTCATATTACGTACAACGATTTCAATGAGCACTTTCTGATAACTGCGTAACCATTTGGGACGGTACCTATCATTTGGGACGGCACGAAAAGATGTATGCATCACATTGCTAACTGATATGCTTCAATTCGGAAGAAAATAACTATGTTTGTTTCTGTATGTTCATTGAATACAATTCAATTCAACCACCAGCTGCACTTTTGCTTTGTGCGAAACAAGATTTGTTTGATAGTTTGATTGAGAAATGCTGCTGTACAACATGAAGAGATTGTTCACATTCTGCACATTATTTCCATTTGTAACAACTGTGCACGGCCATTGATCATTTCTTCTTACTGATTTGAAAAAACGTTCAAATAAATTGTAATAAGCAGTTTCATGCGATACTTGGTGGAAAAAAGGTGTAACATTGGCAATCCCACCAACCGGCTTTTCTGTACAAGCATGCCTTCTTCCACCGATACCCTTTTTCCACTCAGGGAGGGATCCAAGTGCCCATGATATATATACCTGCGGAGAAAACATCATTGAAAATCCTTGAGAATATGAGACCTGATCCTCCAGAAGACACTTCTGAGAGATGGGATGCCCACCAAGAGCGTATTCACCCTTCCGAAGGCCCGGATCTCCACAAAGATATTTAAGTGAGAACGAACCAAAAGTGCTGGCAGTGTAAGAGGCTGAGACAATGAAGGAACGAACAAAGGAGGGAGATAACCATTGCTATCAACTTATACATGGTCATGTTTCGCTCCGTTTGAATGACACGAGGGAGGGGTAAAATTATCGAACTGTGAAGTTGACAACAGATTTCGAAGGATCAAACGAAGGACGGAACATTATCCCTGACCGAAATCCTCGAAACACAGCGAATTGCTTCAAGAAGATACCTGGTAAAATTTATGGTAAGCTGCTAAGCCAGGTCCACATTCGAACACAGAGGCCAGAGTTCCAAAAGAGCTCTTTTAAAAATTTTAAAGTATCTCACCTGCTTGCCGTTCAGCAACTCAATGCCGTCCGGTTGTTTGCCAGCAGAGAGAGCAGCTTCGGCACACTCGCGCTTTTCAAATGTCACGAAACCGTAGCAATTGTTTTCTTTGATTTTCGCGCTGTGGACACCTCCGAACTTCATAAACAACCCCGTCAGCTGCTCAGCCAAGTGTAGGAATCCAAGTCGCCCACGAAAATTGTACATGCCTGCTTTTCCTTCTCATCAATCCGCTTTTTCTTCCTATCAGTGCTGACCAGGCTATCATAACTGGAAATGGGTTCACGGTTTCCGCGCTCCTTAGAGTCACCATTCCTGCTCCCGCCACGGTGGTGCCCCCGACGATAGTCCCTCCTGTCGGATTTCCGTCTCCACTCTCCATGCCCCTCGTCTCTTTCCTTCTTCCGCCAGTCCTCCCCGCGAGGACGCTCCTCATTAGAATCCCTCGATCGTCTCTTTCTATCCGAGACCACGCCATTCCCCGGCTCTTCCTTCACATCCCCTCCCCCGTCATTCCTCTCGTCACTAACCATCACACTACGGAATGGAAACTCCTACACCTCCAATGCATCCGCTAAGGTCCAAAACCCAAAACCCAAAATCCTTGAAAGTAAGTAAATAAACAAACAGATAGAAAAGGCGATCTACAAGCCCAACTACAGGGAAGGTCCAACACAGCGCTGAAATGTAGAGAGAGAGAGTCAAAGAAGGAAAGCGGCTAATGTGCGATGAAACACACACACACAGGGGAGAGGTAGGGAGGAGAGAGGGGACTGACTGACTGTAAATCACACACAAGGGAAAGGGACAGGAAACGGGAAAGGAAGGGAAGGGAGAGAAGGGGATAAGCCTGGCGAGAGAGAGTAGAGCAGAGAGAGCAGGGCTGGGTCGGGAGGGGGGGGGGGTTGGGATTCAGTAGCCATCATAGCATTTTGACTTAGTGTTTAACATTTCTTTTTCTTTTTCTTTTTTTTCTTTTACTTTTTAATTTTAATAGTCAGCACCTTCCTTTTTTTTCTTTTTTTTTTTTCTTTTCTTGTTTTGTCACCCTAAAATTGCATATTTATAAACTTGTTGATTCTTTATAAACCTTACGGAAATTTATTATATTTATCAATAATATTTATTTATGTATTTTAAAATATTGTAAAAATATATTTTTACAAGCATAAGCTATAAGTCTTTAAAAACTATATATACATATATTTTAGATCAATTAAATAAAATCATAAAAAAAACTATATTTATAGTTTTAGACATGTAATCAGTAAAAACTTACAAAATATAATATAGCCTTTCATGTAGACAAGGTTGATATCAATTAATGCTTTCAAAGCATTTTAAGTGTTGTGTGTTTGTTTTATTTAGCCAAATATTAGTCTTGTATTGTAGCTATATATAATTGATTAAATATTAACATGCCAAAATCTTTAGATCATTTTTTTTTCAAATTATTTTTAGTATTACTATTGATTATAATTGATTTAATTTTTTTACGTTTTAATGATACAAACCAAATAAAAAACATCAAAATTTAGTTGTTATTAATACTAATTAGATTATTATTATTATTATTATTATTATTATTTTAATTTCTAAATTAAATTATATTTTATTTGTAATTTATACCAGGTTTATCTTTCTCTTGATATTTTAATTAAGACAATCTCATAGAGTTGAAACAATAAAAATAAAGATGTATAAATAAGATACAAATGTTAAAATTAATTCCTGAAAACTTAAAGTTAAAATCATTCGTTTTATTTTAACTGGCATCTTAGTCAATTATTGCAAATCAATTTTGTTGCAATTTTGTTCTAAAAACTTAAATTTTTTGGTCTTTTCTAATTGAAAAAGCCATTAAAGTTTAAAATTTTGAATGGATTATTTTTTAACTTAAATTTTACATAATTAAATAAAATAAAACATACAAATATCATAATTTATAATTTTGTTTGATATTAATAAATGCATTTTTTTATGCCTGATTTTTAAAAATTTATAGAAGTAAATAGATGTAAATAAGACAAATTAAAAATAAATTAAGTAGATATATTATTTTTGTAAAAAATTGTAAAAAATTGTAAAAAATATTCTATATATATACTCATAAATTAATACAATATAAGTCTATTTTAAAATTTAATGTTGATATGATTTCTTTACAGAGAAATTGTGGGCATCCATCTAAATACCTCTTTTCATGTCTTGGAATCGTGCCTTTCTGCCACTTGAGGTTTCCATGTTCTGTATTCTTGTGTCGATGTTTGCATATGCTAGGGTCAAATTGTTTGGAGCTGTTGCTTGTAATTTGGATGCACATTCATTTCATTAATGTGGATATTTTGGTCGACCACGTGGCGCTCGGTTTGTAATTTTTTTGGTTTGATGGCGAATTTCGATGGGAATCTAATGTGGAATTTCCAGAATTTTGTGTGTGACTGTTGATGCTGATTTTATTCGATCAAAATTTCTTTCTGCTCGACTATATTCTCTTGCTGTTCTGTTCTGACTCCGCTACGAGTCACAGCACTTGGATTCCGAGTCGATGAATTTGTGCAGATGTTATGGACCGTGTGTGAGTGAATTCATCTCAATTTCTAAATGCTCATCGGCGTCGGTATATTGTAACATTAGATATTAACTTGATGTAAAAATATTTTAGTTGAATAATTTTGTGGCTAAAAATCAAGGACAAGTGTAGAATAGATATTAATTCATTTTTGAAAGATATTGGTAAAATATATTAATAGTCCATATAATAAGAAATTCAGGAGGATGGATGAGTGATTTAGTTATTAAAAGCGGTTAATTACAGAATTACATTTAGAATCTGGAGAATCAAAGGAAAGTATATAAGAGTTATAGAAGTTAATTAAGGTGCCATCGCTGTGATAGTTGTGAGCCAAGGTAAGCTTGATACTACCTCTTTTCTTTTGTTTGTTATTTTCTTTGAATAAGAGAATTGAGAGTTTCTGAATATTGTGAAGTGAATCATGGAATAGAAATGTGATTGGTATTATTTGAGAAGAAGAAAGATTGAATGCTGAAATCAGATTGTAGTTCAGCAGAGAGAATGAGTCTGTGTTTGTGTGAAACACCGTAATGTGAATGGCAGTTGTGTGTGAAGAATTCCAATGATTGGAGCGAGGGTAATTGTGTGCTGAAAGCTGTGAGGGCGCAGTATTACAGTTGGAGATTATGAGGGTGAATATATTGATGGAAATAGCAATTATTGGTATGATTGAATTACTATAAGGAAGAGACCGATAAGGTGAAGGAGGAGATTATAGTTTCCTTGTATGTTCAGATATTAGAAATAGAGACGATACATTCAGGAGGTAATTGATTGTGTCACCTTAACGTGAACGCTTAAGCAACTAGTCATTCACTGTGTTCAAATCCTCCTATACGGGTTTATTTCCATTAGATTAATTTGAAATAAGTAAAACGAGCAATCACATTTTGCGCCACTGTCGGAGAGTGATAATAGCTTTGAGTGTTAGAAATTAATTACCAAACATGTGATAAAATTGGTAATAGAAGATGATTTTAGTAGTGTTTGAAGCAAGATTATGGTTAATAAGAACAAGAGCATTGCATCGAGGAAAATAAATCAGTTGAGAGAAAGACATGGAAGAACGTAAGGAAGGAACTTGCTTAGAGAGGAATAAGAATGTAATCTTAAAAGGAAGCATCGACAAAATTGGATTAAATCATGGTTGCAAGCTTGTCGTTGCATCCAAACATATCAAGAACTAGACAGACTGTTAATTCTACAGTTGTATGTACAGTTAGAAAAACTACGAAGAACACTCGCAAGAAATTTTGTTAATATTCCAGTGGAAATCTTGAGGTTGTTAACTAAAAGAGAAGAAGGCGTAGAAGAATTTGGTACTCCATTGGGTATTTTTTCAGTAGGGCATACTGCTGAAACGAGGAATAGTGGCTCTTTAGATTGGCACAAATTGGTCGCCAATAAAGATAACTATATTGTATTTCAAAATCTAACATTTTTACCTACAATTCAACCAATAAAACTATTTACAAAAAATAACAGTAAATCGAGGAGCACTGAGAGCTCGAAAATTAGAATAAGGGAAAGCAGAGATTATTTCAAAATGAATTTTAGCTGAACAAGAAATTCAATGGCGTCAGGAGGACTAGCCATTCTGATTGTAGTACAAATGGGTGCAATAGGCGATTGTACGACTAATATCGTGCTACTACCTACTTTCGGGGATTTTCAAGTACGGATCTTGATCAATATTTGTCTCAGTTTCTTATAGCATGTATAGCTAATAATAGCAAAACTAAAGATATTTGATTGCGATGGTTGCCAGCAACCTTAAAAGACACGACGTTTGAGTGGTACAACCGCCAACCAGTGGGTCAATTTTTGAATTAGAAAGCATTAAAGAATGCATTTTTATCTCATTTTTGGCCAATTGGTTTTGAGGACCGCCTTCGAGAGAGGTTAATGAACAACGAAATGTTCCTAGGAGAGGCGATGGAATTGTACCATGGCCGAGTGGCTGATATACTCAATAAGTGGCCGAATCACCAAATGTCGGAGGCATTTATCTTATTCATATTAATCAATGGTTTGGACCCACTAGAGCTAAAAATGTTTGTAAAGAAAGCTCAACCCGTTACGGTGGCTGTGTCCTTTAATAGAGCCAAGGTCTGGGAGGAATGCCAATATGATCAGTTTTTAACTGCAGGAGCCACGATGATTCCAGTTCAAGGTAGATATCAAAATCTGACTTGGAACGAATCAGTGGGTAGTTATCCACGGATGTTAGAAACAAAGGCCAATTCCAATACCAATATTCAAGGACCAGTTAATGTCACCCCATTGCAAGCTATACCACCAAATGTGGCAACAACGTATGCTCCATATTTTTTGTATCAACAACAAGCGTTAACTACAACAGAGATACCAATAATGCCAGCCCTAAAAGATTCCAATGAAACCTTGTTATTGAATTTGACGAAGAAAATGGAGGAAATGGCCATCAATATAGCCAAAGATAAAGAGAAGAGGAAAAAACCTACTAATACTAAGACCAATGTATAATGCAGTAATTGTAAGGGCCACGGTCATTCTGTAACAGAATGCCCCTCATCCTCATAAATAATGGATCAATGTATATTTTGTGGGTGATAGCATCGCACGCAAGGCTTTAATGGCTGGATATTGGTAGCCAATAGTGTTTTCAGATGCACACCAATATGTTCGTTGTTGTGATCCTTGTCAATGAATTGGTCGTCCTACTAGAACTTCTGTGATGCCCTTGGTACCAATTTTGGCATAGGCACCATTTAAAAAATAGGGTATTGACTTTGTCGGACCAATTGCACCTACCTCTTGAAATAGACATAAACGTTATATTCTAGTAGCCACTGATTATGTCACCAAATGGGCAGAGGCCATGGCAACAAAACCTGATAATGTCAATATCGTAGCAACATTTTTATATGAGAACATTATCACTCGTTTTGGCTGTCCAAAAGAATTGGTTAGTGATCGCGGCACACATTTTCTTAATGCCACAATTGAAGCATTAATAGCGAAGTATGAGATCAAGCACCGCAAAACTACACCTTATCATCCACGAGCCAATGGGCAGACCAAAAAGACAAATGGTATCCTATGCAAGATCTTAACAAAGACTATTTCAGTAGCGAGAACTGATTGGGACACTAAATTATTTGCATCTTTATGGGTGTACCGTATTGTATATAAAGTAACTACCAATTCTATTCCATTTCAATTGGTATACGGCAAGGAGGCAATTCTACCAATTGAATTGGAAGTCCAAAGTTTACGAATTGCGTTGGAT